AGCGTTCAAATAAAAACGTGGTCAAGTTGGTTCTGAAAATTTGGACGTAGGGCGTAGCGTATAGCAAATGAACTTAAACGTCATCTGTCAAAGCGCTATATCGCCGCTATCAATTTGAATATTTTCGTTTTAAAAAGCGTTTAAAATGAAAATATTCAAATTGATAGCGGCGATATAGCGCTTTGACAGATGACGTTTAAGTTCATTTGCTATACGCTACGCCCTACGTCCAAATTTTCAGAACCAACTTGACCACGTTTTTATTTGAACGCTCGTTATTAAACTATTCTTATCGAATTTACATTTTCAGCAATGTTGGGTATCCTTAACGGCGGCCTAGCAATATGGGTGGTCTTTGCTGTGTCCTACACGGCACTGTGTATAGTCCTATCTTTTAAAATATACTTCCTTAACTACGTGGTGAACGGAGTTAAGGAACTACATCGAGAAATTAAAACCAGGGGATACTCTACGGACGTATTCCTTCCAATTCGCAGAGGTAAATGTGTCTTTTGGTAATTTTTTCACGTTTCTTACAGCACTTTATTTCAGGTAGATTCATTTTCCTTCTAATAACTAACGCAGTCAACCTCGGTTTGCTCATAGCTGGTTTGTGCGTTTACCCTCAGAACCTCACTGACTTTGGAACCTTTCTCTTGGGATTGTTAATGGCAAATGCAGTCCTTCACGCTATATTCTACACGTCTATGAAGGTAACAATATTAAACGAAACGATTTTATTAACTTGATCAACAAGTCTAAACATACAGGGTGTTTCATAATAAATGTCTTTATTCAGGGGGGCCATGATTTTAAGGAAAAAAGTTCATACAGGCTGTCTCTTAAAAAACGCCGCAAGCCATAACTCCGCTATTTATAGTCTGATTTTAAAAAACAAAAAATTAAATGAAATGGCTCTAAATACACTATAAAGCGAGCCTATTAGAGCTCATTTACTATTTTTTTCAAATGGCAATATAGTTTTTTTGTTATTTATTACAGAAAAGACGACAAAATATTAGTCGATACCGCATTCGGCGCCCGGCCACTGATACAAATGTATTTTAACTAATCATCTGTGCCATGGAAAACAAAAAATAATACAGCAAAGCAAATAAAACTCAAAAGATAATTTTGCAGTTAACAGAAAAGAAACAATATAATGAATATCAATTAAAAGAAAAACAATTTAATTAAATACATTAATGATTATACAAAGTTCAACATGGAATTGAACACAAAATACATTAAACAAAGAAAGAACAAACACAAAAAACTAAAGAAACAAATTGTAGCCGTCATCTATTGCCTGTACTTTTTGAGGGACGTGTGGCTTGAATTTGTGCTTTTTCAATACTGCATGTACAGTTCTCTTTGATGCTCTATTATTATTAGAAATTTCCCGAATGGAAGTTCTTGGGTTTTCTTCAACGTTAAGAAGAACATTGAACTCGATGTTTTCATTAAATTGGAGTTCTTCTCGTTTTGGTTTCTTAAAAGCACCATAGTTTCTCAAATTTTCTTCAAGTCTTACAAATCTACGTGGTTCTGGAACTTCTCTGTGAGGAAATAGTTCTCTGTAAAGGCGGACTCCTGCACCACGATTTTTATTACACCGAAAGTATACCTGAATCATGTCCGTCAATTGATTATTACTCATATTTTGCACTGTTGAGCTTATTTCAATAAATAACCTACTGTAAATGACACAGAAAGAGTATAATGCGTAAAAAACTGGGACACGAACGCTAAAATGACATTTACTTGCTTTGTTGTATTATTTTTTGTTTTCCAGGCATACATGATTAGTCAAAATATGTTTGTTGTCAATTAAGCGACCGGGCGCTAATAATGCGGTATTGACTAATATTTTCATGCTTTTTCTGTAATACATGTTTCACAAAAGTAGACTTTATATACATCGTTGAATTCAGAATAGAATTCTTCACAATAATAAATTAAAAAAAAACATATATTGCCATTTGAAAAAAAAGTTGACTATCGCTTTTCAAAAAATAATAATAATAAATACGCCCCAATAGACTCTCTCTATAGTGTATTTAGAACCATTTTATATAATTTTTTGTTTTCTAAAATCATACTATAAATGACGGAGTTATGGCTTGCGGCGTTTTTTAGGCTATAAACATGTCCGTAAATGATTCGTTACCATGGCACAGGGTGTTAAAGTTTCAATAATTTTTCTGTTTTTTCTTTGTATCTCCCACAGTTTTTGAAATATTAGTTCAAATTTGGAACGTAAGCTAATTTAGATTGGCTACATTAGCCCTTCCTAATAGTTGTCACGAAAAAGTATCACCCTGTATACTTTTTCTGGGGTCGAGTCTTCTTTCAGCCTCGCAAACTTTCTTCCGGTACGACACTGTTTTTTTATAGAACAAGGGTTTAATTCCCTGTTCAATTTAGAAACTTTTTTTGTAGTATAAATAGAAAACCCTTCTAAAGACGAATTCAGCGATATAAGGTTATACCTACTTGTTAAAAAATAGAAAAATTAAATGAAAACAGTAATTTACTACTGCTTTTTACTTTATTACAGCAAAATGTTCAAAGTGGCCTCCATTAACCATTGTACAATGCCCAATTCGGTGTTATCAGTTACGTTTTGAATAACATTTGGTGTTATATTTCGAACTACTTCTACGACTTTTCAATCATTCAATAGTGTCTGATCTGTTCGCATACACTTTGCATTTTAGATAACCCCCACAAAAAAGGGGAGCGTGGTGGCCATTCAAGTGGCCCTCTTCTGCCTATACATCGATTTGGGAAAACTTCATTAAAGTAATTTCTTACATTAAGGCAAAAATGTTCATCTTGCTGGAACCAGGCATCACCAACAGGCATATCGTGCTCATTAGGATTAGGAAAAATTAATTCCAGGGCTGGAATCAGCTGAAAACGCAAAAAATCCAAATAAATGTCACCTGTCAAATTACCCTCAAAGAAATAAGTTCCCAGTAGCCATTTCCTACTATTCCAGTCCAAACATTCACTTTTTCCGGCCGTTGTGTATGTTTTTCTTACATCCAATGCGGATTTTCTGGGCTGCA